TTTCATAGTTTTTGACTAGGTACTACAAAGTCCTCATAAAATACCAAACAAACTCACAGAAGTGATAGGACAAGGGGTAATGGCTTCAAGTTGCACCAGGGGAAGTTCAGGTTGGATATTAGGAAACATTTCTTTACTGAAAGGGTTATCCAGCATTGGAATGGGCTGCCCAGGGAGGTGGTGGAGTCACCATCCCTGGAGGTATTTAAGAAACATGTAGACATGGTTCTTCAGGGCATGCTCTAGTGCCCAAGATTACTGGTTTGTGGTGGGGTGCTGTGTGGGTGGGTGATGGTTTTTGGTTTGGTGGTTGTTGTTGTGTGTTTAGGTGGTGGTTTGTGTTTTTTGTGGTGGTTTTTTTTTTTTTGGTGGTTGGACTCTATGATCTCTGAGGTCCCTTCCAACCACCACAATTCTGTAATTCTGTGAAGTCAACTCAATGTTGGCAATAACTGTTCACACAGCTTTGCAGATGCATTGCTTCTTAGGTTGCATCTGTTTGTTGGAAAGAACTGAAAAATACGATGCCAAAGTGCAATTTCCCATTTTACTATATCCTAAAATGAAATAGGAGCACTTAAAAAAAAATATACAGAGCCGACCATTGCAGACCTTTACATGATACTGCAAATCTCAGACAAAAATGTAAGGTGCAACTCAAGGTGCAAATACTGACAGTTATTGGAAAAGGCTAGAACTGGTCTTAAAGAACAGCCCCCTTTTGGTCTTGGGCTATTTAAGGCCGGGGGGGTGGGATGGGAAGGGAAGAGAAGATGGCACTAGTTCTCCAACTGATGTGCACGAAGCTGGCCCAGAGGTGATGCTGCCACCACTGCTGCTGATCTTGGTCCTGGGCAAATGAGTTTGGGAACATCTGACCTTGCTCTGGATATTCCAGTCCCACCTGAGACGTCGGTAAATATACAGAGAGCTGCTACCCCATGAATTCACTGGAAATTAAGAGTAATGGAGATGGGAGGGAGAGGTGTATGTTTCACTAGAATGTACCCTCATCGTGAGGGGAAAATGAAAGACACATGCATGGAAAAATATTTCTTGACAGCTTTAAGGTTTTCATTATTCATATACCAGAAAGCAGCTTCTGGAGAGAAAATATGTACCGCTATTCCAGCTTTGAGGGCTATTTCCAATAAGCAGCAAACAGTCTTCTGCATCTCTTCCCCAATTCTACTAATCAGGAGCATCTTTATGTGTATGTGTTCTTTTCAAAGGTTTCACAGGGCAATGGTCTCTCTCTCTGTAGCAGGCACTCCAACTTTGATTTATCTAGCTCTATCTGTTCTCGTTAGAAAATATTCCTTTCCACCCTCCACTCCTATATATAACTAGCTATAAAATATAACATTAGATCCTTTCTTAAAAACAGCCAGGATATCACCCAGTGCTATCAGGCTTATCTTTTTTGTGTGTGTGTGTGTATTTGTGTTCCTTTCCATTAAACAAACCAGGCAATGAAAATTACAGCACATAAACATTCTCCAGGGAAGATTACCATCCCAAACTAAAGGAGGCTCAGCCTCCTTGCCACGTCAGGTGATAAAGGGGGGCAGAGCTTTACACCCGAGGGCTACACACATCCAGGCTGCTGTGCAGAACATGCTGCTCCTCTGGTTCCCTATATTCAGTGGAGGAGACAAAAAGTCTGTGCCAAGAAAAAAAAAAAAAAAAAGTAGTACAAGTGCCACTGCAGGAAATGTAATACAAGAGCAAGCGATAGGTAAGGTTTGGACAGGTAAGGAAAGTCCTCTTTCTTCTGTCCTTTTGCTTGAGACATCCACACTTGATCTCTTTGCTTTGTGGTACTGGAGTACTCACTGTGTCCCACCAGGAATTTTCAGTGAATCGTTAACTTAAAAATAAATAAATAAATAACAGCAAAACCCAAACCAAATGAACAAAACCGAAGCAAAACAAAACCTGACTAAAAAGCAAAACAAAGGAAAACAAAGCCAATGAACGATGCGACATCTGTTGAGATTTAACTATCAAAAGAAAACGTTAAGAACTCTCAGTTTTCACTTTGGCAGAGTTTTACTTTTCAAGTAGCGCTTTCCTTGAGGCACAGCTTTACAGATTAAATACTGTAAGGCCTGCACTGAGAAACAAAGGGAGAAAAAAAAATAATCTTTGCCACTAGTCCAAATCAGTTGCCAATGAAACATTTTAAAATTTTTTTTCTTTCCTAACTTCTACTTATTCTTTAGTACTGTGGTAGCAACTCTACAGATGCTTTGGACTGCTATACCGTTATCAGATCTGCAGAAAGGGAATATGTCACCAAATAGGATCTGCCACAAAGAACTTCATTATCAGATCTTACAGAAGGGGAATATATCACCAAATAGGATCTGCCACAAAGAACTTCAGCAATTTTTTAGACAGCATAAGTTTGAAATCTAGGGGACATATACAACACAAACCTGCTCTTTCTCCAGCATATCCGCTTTTCTTAGTATCTTCATTGCATAAATATGACCTGTATCCTTCTTCTGAACAAGGCGGACCTATAATGAGAAATAGAAGTCCATCAGTCTGCTCTATCTCAGAAAATAGAGCCCAGCATGGAATCTATTGGAAGGCTCAAAGTTGCTGGGCATGGAAAAGTTCTTTTGTTACACATTTAAAAACACACAGGAAAAAAAAAAAAAAAAAAAAAAAGAAAAGTACAAATTCTACACCATGTACAACACTAGCACTAGTGATGAATAGAGAGTTTGAAGTAGTTATTGTTTCAGGAGAAGTTAGCAGGCACAGTAAATTCCAAATAGCTGTGAGACTGTACAGGCTAAGGTTTAGGAGGGGATACAACCGTGATGTGACACAGGGCAGGGATGGTGTTTACGGAGAGGAGCTGGGCAACTGCAAATCCATCTTTTCAGGGGGCCACAGGGGCAACAGCAGTTTGGGCCAATAAGAAGCTGTGGGAGACTAAGGGCCTTTCCAGGGGTCTTGAGAAATTGATGCATGTAATTCATTACTGGACTTATCACACTTGCACAATTACTATTTTTAGTAATATTTATTATAGCTATTTAGTACTATTTACTATAGCTGTTATAAATAGCTATTCTTCTGCAATGAAACTCTCCAACTAAAACTTTTTATTCTGTAATTAAAACGTTTCATTTCAATGTCCGATGCAAATTTTATTATCGTATTCAATCAGGAAAGCCACAAACCTCCCCAAATGCTCCTCTTCCTATAACTTTCAAAGAGTCAAAGTCATCCAAGCCAAGCCTAGTCCTCTTCAGTCGCAGAAACTCCGTTTCTTTACGGGCGTGTTGCGACCTGCGTAGCTTTTTCTAAGGAGACACACACACAGAGAAATTTGTAAGTCATTTGACAGTATGAAGCCCCATTGCTCAGGCACCTGCCCCACGTTGTACCAGGATGACAGAGTCATTGGAAGCCACAAGATGGCATCAGGCACCCACACTCACTTCTCCATCCTCCCACACAAACAGAGACACGATGGAGGCACCGTGATGTCCCTGAAGACAGTACGTGAAGACATGGGGTGGTGGACCTCAAGAAAAGCAACTTATTGACCAAAGTTCTGAGAGATGTCAACCGGACAGAGATCCCTCACGCGATTCCAAACAGAGCATGTGCCCAGTTTATTGTTTAAATCAAGAAAAAAAAAAATATGGTTCGGCATTTTGCTTTCTAACCCACTTCTTCCGAGCACATCTCATTTTTTTTTTCTTGCCAGATATAACGGCAAACAATTTTAATCTTTGAAAAGCATGCTATAGACTTGCTGCAGCCATATGCCTCATATGGACTAAAGCCTTAGCTATGGCAAGTATCATTCAAGTATATTCACAGCTTCCCTAATAAACAAGTTATTTACAGGTGCAACGTTCATTTACAAATTAAAACCTCATGTCATGCTAGCTGATGTTTCTGGGGGGTGCAAGAGAGCTGGCTAATGTTTAAGCACCACGTCCTCCAAGCTCGAGATTAGTGCATCCCTAGGAGCAAGAAATCAGGCAAAGGAGGCAGGAAGCCTGCACGGATGAGCAGGGAACTTCTGGAAAAACTCAGGAGGCAGAAGTTTATAGAACGTGGAAAAAAAGGACTGGCCACTTGGGAGAAGTTCTAGGAGCGCTGTCAGAGCATGCAGGGATGCAATGAGGAAGACTAAGACCCGCTTGGAATTAACCCTGGCGAGGGATGTCAAAGGCAATAAGAAGGGCTTCTTCCTGCTTTAGAGTTGGACCAGATGATCTCTAGAGGTCCCTTCCAACTCTGACAACTCCAACTCCCACAGGGCTCAGTACTGGGGCCGGTTCTCTTCAACATCTTTATCACTGATCTGGCCGAGGGGATCGAGTGCACCCTCAGCAAATTTGCAGACGACACCAAATTGGGTGGGAGTGTTGATCTGCTGGAGGGTAGAGAGGCTCTGCAGAGGGATCTGGACAGGCTGGATGGATGGGCCCAGGCCAATGGGATGAGGTTCAACAAGGCCAAGTGCAGGGTCTTGCACTTGGGTCCCACCAACCCCCTGCAGCGCTACAGGCTGGGGGCAGAGTGGCTGGAGCTGCCTGGCAGAAAAGGACCTGGGGGTGTTGGTCAACAGTCGGCTGAACAGGAGCCAGCAGTGTGCCCAGGTGGCCAAGAAGGCCAATGGCATCCTGGCCTGTGTCAGGACCAGCGTGGGGAGTAGGACCCGAGAAGTGATCATCCCCCTGTACT